TTTTTGGGGAGCTCTGAGCTCCAAAATTGCTGGAACTGGCAACACATAGGAAGCGTGATTTGGAAGGGAGCTGCCGGAGCGAGAGCCTAAGGTCACATGCGGCTTCTTGTACGACTTGTGGACAAAGGGTCTGGTCTGCTCTTCTGTGGGGGACTCTTGAATTACGCGGATCCTGGCACTTATGTATCATGACGGCTTTCATTTCCCTTTGCCTTAGCTCTTCTGATTACAAGGAGCTGAGATGTATCCGAGAGCTGACCGACAAAAGACAATACAGACAGAAAGTTGGGCCTGATTTGAAATGATAATATTGCCCAAAGAGTGGAGTGCAGCATACGATGTAATGGAGATCTTGATGATCACAGCACGACGTGGAAGTGAGCCATTTTGGCTGCGCAGTGAGGGGCACCATTTGATGACAGTGAGGGGACCTTGCATGCACATGTACGGAGGGGGACTTGACCCTTGCCATCCACCATATTATTCTGCATAGTTCTACTGTGTTCATCTTAAGATTTGGGATCTATGTCTTGATATGTTTGGCGGATGATGCGGGTCGTTCACTCTCTGTATGTTGTTGTATGTACATGGTACCCAAGCAGCCTCTGAGATTAGGTGCAGTCCTAATTAGATGCAGACACTGAGCGTCCTGGTAATGTCTTCAAATTAGGTGCGTCGCTGTATTCTCCCTAGACAACCTCGCCTGTGAGCATAGTNNTCTCTGCCATGCGAGAGGGACAAAAACCGCCATCATCGTCATTACCCTGCGTGTGACTTTCAATCTGTGGCAGCCGGGCCGGAACATGGGCCTGGCAGGTCTTCCATCTTCCAGCCCTCTTGAAGTTGTGTCTGCTTTGTGTTAAACCTTAAAGCAAAAAAAGGTCCAAGTAATAATAGAGCATATACTTACTTTGGGGCCAAATACGAACTAAGTAGCTACTATATTGGTATTTGGACCCTTCGGGAACCACGAAACCCTAAATCGTCCTAAGCCGTAACACCTTGCCTCTAAAGAAACCTTAGGGTGTTGGACCCGCGAGACTCGAGTGCGGGTTGAGGGTACAAGTTTCTCATTGCCTGACCACGGTCCTAGCATCTCCCCTATATTGATACATGCGCCGAATGTTATATAATTTCAGTCCATAATATGCCAGGATGTCCACCTGCCGGATGGGCGAGCGGTCAAGGTACCTGCGATAGGGCCGGCAACTTACATGCCATGCCAAATTCTTCCCCATGACAAGTTTATGGCACTTACTGACTCTCACCCCAAAGCCTTAATTGTAAAGTGGGGTACCAACCTCGTTTCAAAACTCAAGATGTTCACTGAGATTCTCTGTTGGCGCAACGTTTCCAAAGTCTTGAGCAGTCTAGACTTGTCATTGTCAGCCCAGAGGATACAAGTACCAATAAAGTAGCTACTTAGTAGATATTTGAGCCCCCAAACATATGCTCTACTACTGTATTACTTGGACTTTTTGGGAAAGCAAATTCTGAACGCTCACAAACCCCACAGTCCTCTCCCTCATCAAGGCTTCTGGAATTGTTTCGCCAAGGCCCAAACTGTCTGCCACGCCTGGCAACACGTCAGCGGGGGGCCCTCGGCTGGGGCAGCACACCACAGAGGCGTTCTGCGGGGAATGGAGTATCCGGAAGCCCCAAACCATGATGAAAAGGTACTTCGTCTTAACTTACCCGTGAAAGGCAGCCGCCGTCTATTTTTTTGGTTCAATCCAAAGCCAACCAACTCAAGCTGAAGAGTGAAGAGCTGGCTTGTCACCTTGAGACACGCAAGAAGCCGCTGAAAGTGCCCTTGTGCATATCTTGTGTATTTTCCCAAAAAGCTGTTTGCTCCTGTTCAGCCCTCCATCCGACCAAGTTTGCACATTAAGCCACAAATGTCAATAGAAATAAGCCGCAAGCGGATTCCTGCCTCCGAATGGGAACACAGCAGCTCCTTGGCCCAGACCGAAACTCCACGAATACACTTAAGTAATTAGCACTTAGAACTGCCTGAACCCCCCAAAACCCCAAAACGCAAGGAGACACTTTTTAGGGTTTAGGGCTTAGGGAATTCCTAGGGAATGGACTTGATCCCACGTTCTGTTGGTGGTTCGGTGTTGAGGTCTTGGCTTGCTTCCTGGTTTGCAGCTTCTTTCTCTTGAGGTCTGGTCGCGGGTCGTGAGCTGACTTGGAAGCTAACTTGGATAGTAGGTTAATATAGATATATATTGAGCTACACATATACATAAATAAATACATA